CTTCACGCATCCCCTCTTTTCCGTAAACATCTTATGATATGTCAGAATAATGGAACTTTACAAGCCAGTGGACTCAGTCAGGCTCTTGTGGGTACTCTTTTGAAGGAGTGGGGGTTTGATGGGTATGTGCGTTGGCTTCGGTGAGTTTTTCCTTTCTATGATCACACAAAGTTATTTATTTATTTATTTTACACACATGAAGAGGGTTAAGGGGACGATACAGATTGAGAAGGGATTGGACGATCGACTTTTTACATGAACGATTCAACATCAAGCAGGTCACTGAGCCTGCATCTGGCAAGTCGTCTATTTTCGTTGCGTACAAGTACAAGAAACTTGTAGTGGATGAGAAACATCTTCATGTTGTGGATCATCATGATGAGAAGGAAGATCACGGTGGTGGAACGAACCCGCTGTTCGAATTCGTTCCTGCTACTTCGGGTATGTTCCTCTGGTTAAAGGTTTGTAGTCCTTTCTTTTCTTTTCTTTTTTTTCTTTTCTTTACAACCATTCGCATAATAACATCACATCATCCATTCTTCCATCCCTTTTTCTTCAGTTCCCGTTACAATATCACAAAGACTACCATCATCTCGTCGAAACGCGTTCCCCTTCCGAAGCACGCACCTTCCTAAGTGACCGTCTCTGGAAAGGTCTTCTCGATTCAGGTGTCCTTTTCCGACCTGGATTCGTTTCCAAGGGCGGAGCGAGGAAGAAAGGGATCAAGTTGGCGATACGTTTGCGTTTTTGAGAATGTGTTATGCTATGGCTACGGTGAGTTTGGATTGAATTTTTTCTTTTCTTTCTTTCTTTCTCTCCCCTCCTGAAGGGGGTTATTTTAGGAGAGGGGTTAGGATATATAATTGCTTCTTCTTTTTTGCTCACGCGTACTCTATGATTCCCCCATGACGAATTGAAGAAGGGTGTTGAAAGGTTTTCCAAGTTCATCGTAGAGTTTTTCGACTAGAGGATTTTTTTTTTATCTTGAACCGGAGTCCAGAAGTCCCATTTTCTGGATCACGGTGCGGGATCATTGGACACCACATCACTTGTTGTTGTTGTTGTTGTTGTTTTTTTTTTTTTATCATGTCAACTCGGTACTGTATATGGTACTGTGACAGCCCGACTGAATCAATTCGTTGTTCCCTTCTACATGATAGTCGGCACTTCCGAGATTATGAACAAGTACGGTATAAAGGGGTACTGAACGGTATCGCGCACAGTCGCCTGTTATTACATACTGCCAAAGATCAGAAATACAGATGTGAGGGGCCAGTGCGTGATTTTGACAAGCCAAGTTGCGAAGGCAGAGTCGTAGTCACGGTCGAGAAGAAGCAAAAGGCTTAAAAGTATTTCGATTCATGCTTTATTTCGATGCATTATTCCCGCATCGTACAGTGCATTTCACCCCTGCGACAGCATACCAGAATCACTTCCTGTCCCCTCTTACATAACAGTCAACACCTCCGAAATTTTACGAGCAAGTACGGTATCAGAGCTGGGCCAGATCGAGCAGTATCCCACAAACAACCCGTTGTCGCTGCAAACGAATCAGGAAGATTATCGGGAGGATCCCCGCAGTCCCTCCGACGAGCCAAGTTGCGGAGGGGCGCAGGCAGAGCCATAGTGGAAAAGAAACGAGAGGCTTGAGAAAGTATTTCGATTTCTGCTTTTCGACGCATTAAAACCAATCGAGTAAGTTCATCCCTTAGACGAAGACCGAGACGGTACAAGGTATTAAGGCCACCTGAGCAACTCTGCGTGAGAATGCTTACTTCCAATCACTTGGGAAACGATCACCCAGACGCGAGAGCATGTGCAGAGCCTAGTGAAGTTGATTTAGCGGTATTTTGGATGAGAGCTTGCCTTCATCATAAAAACCTTTCGATAATCCATATTGGAAATATGAAGCAGAGAGTCGGGATCGATATGGAATCTAGAGAAAGCCGTAGAGATTGGTGACGTAACACACTGGAGTTTGGTTGCCAAGAAAACCTTCGGAAATCGGAATACTTAAGCCCAAGCCATATAGCTCTTTCGCTTGTGAGAGAATGCGATTCGTGTCTCATCTTAATGCTCCCGAATTTATAAACCGATGCAATTCAAGACCATAGACATCAGCGTCCACCAAGAGTAAGATTGGGATCCTAGGAGATTTCTCTGAGCAGTTGAAAATATGGAGGCTCGAGAGGAGGGCACTGGGAAAAAAGCACCTCAAAGGCAGCTCCTGGCCGAGCAAATGGACTAGACCACGTGTAGCAATATCGGGTTGCCCCTTCCCCTGTGGTGTGGTGTCATTCCAGAAAGAGTAAACGGTGAAGGGCTCAGACGAACGGTGATAATGACACCTTTTTTTTTCCGAGAAGCGGTTGTCCGCAAAGGCTGAGTGGCATAGTGTTTGGAAGATAGCCTTGATGTCGAACCGTCGATTGTCGAGCTATCAACATCTCAGTAGCCAAGCCTTATCGAAACGTACCTCCTTCTCCACAACAAGGATGTACCCTGGCTCTTCTTTCCAACGTAGATGGACAATCTCATCAGTCGGCGGTATCAAAGTGCTCTGGTTGATCGCGTAAGTTTTGATATCTCAGGCTCCCTACTCCTTCAGCCACCTGCCTCGCGAGATGAGAGATTTAGCTCTGTTCCAGACGACAATTTGATCATGAGGATGGAACTGCAAACTATGCCTTTGGGAGATGCGATCTGTTATTTAAGGAGGCGGTCAGTATCGCCTTAAAATGAGATGCCACTGGGGCCCAACAAACCACGTTCAAATTGAATCGGTTTACACCAAGAGTAGCCGCAAGGTCATCGACAATCTGCAGGTTCTTTCGTGAAAGTCAACGAGTTACTTGGGGATGTTACACTCACTTCGTCGACCCTAGATTGCTTCCCAAATAAGGCAACATCTTGGTAGAAAATTTCGCTAATAAGGGGGGGCAAGCATCATGGAACGCCAAGACAATATAGCATGTAATCACGAACCGTTTCGTGAGCAATGTGTTATCGTGGAGAGCCGTATGACATAGATCCACCACGCGGAGAAGGGCTCCTGTAGAGGTTTTAGAATAGAACAACACACGCGTTGGGTTTGGAAAGAACCCACCTAATTGTCGCGCACAGGGGTTTCGTTTTGGCCACCACATTTCCTTCGTGTGACTTTTCCCCGATCCGTCGTAAGCGCACATGAGAATCAGAATGTTAAATAGTACCTTTTTCCATTTCTTGATGCCATTTGAACGCGCAACCGCATCTTGCCAGTAGGAACGTCAGACGATTGGTGGTGATCAGGATGGCAGTTTCGAATAATGTCGACGAGCTGTCTTAGCAGGCTCAACGAAATATCTTCCAGCGCCCTAATTACAAAAGCCCTATCTTAAGTAGTTAGCTTTGCTATCTGGATTCACCGGTACACAAACCTCAGATCCACATCTTCAGCAGCAGCGACATCGCCATTATCCATTTCTGGGTAGCTGAGTCATTTATTACAAAGCTGGCTGCTCTCCCACTTTCCCCTGCCTCAATAATGTCGGTGTCCATGAGGCACTGTTTACGTGACGCGTCACGTCCTCGATGTACACAATAATCCCCCATGCCCCCATTGCGGCTTTTTCAATTCGCCAGTCTCACACAGAAAGGGCTAAGAGGCGCCTCTTGTCGGAGAGCTCATCTGCACCTGGCTTCTGGGGGGACGCAGACGATAACTAAACCTGCAGATTCAAGGACTCGTTCTCGACCTTTGGCTTTGGCTGGAGCAGGCTCAGTTCTCTGTGCCTGGTATCTGTTGCAGGAGCCACTTAGTCTTGAAGAAGCTCCAGAATCATCAATACGAGGTAAGAGGGATGGCTACAGAAGAGACCCCTTCCCACAATGAGGCTGAAACACGTTAGTTGAGCCTGAAACTTGTGTCCGGTTTCCAAGCACAATACAACCACCCTCTTGTCCACCCTTGACCCTTGTTGGGCTAGGGGTTCGAGTAGTATCATTTTTGAAGTTCAAAGTATACGCTGTTGGCTTCTATGCGGAACCCGCTTTGCTTCAGGTTCGTTTGCCTTGCCGTGTTGATTTGTGCGTGGTACCTTTATTTAATGATGCACTCTTCACTCAAGACGACTGAAGACGCGCCTTTCGAAGAAAAAATCGAGCGTATCATCCAGACTTCGGCTTGCGCCATTCGGATTGGTCAGTATGTGCGAAGATGCAAACAAACACACCCCAGAGAGCTAAATTAGAAGCCAGTGCCCGTGCGCTCGACATCGTACACGCATCTCCGAGATGCTTTCATACGAGCTCTCCGTTTGCGAATCGTAGACTTGAAGAAAACGAGGAATTTATTCCTAGATGAAGAGAACGTGAGTCTTGCTCCAGCCCGACGCACACCCCTGATCGTCTTTGTCCTCGCAGGCATTGGAAGAGTCGCTGCAGAGGTTGAAGGGGATCTTTCCAATTTCATCATTTGAGAAGAATTCGTCTCTTCTCGTCTATTCGGTTCCTGAAGTGCATGGGGGTTTGAAGGAACGTACACTGATTTTCGACGGATTGGGGGAAATTCAAAGCACCTGGATGGCGGCGAATTTCTTTTATACATATTTTACTGGGAAAGGCGTTAGTCCAGCAGTAAGTCAGCTGACCCATCACACATCGATTCTGAAGAAGTGGATATATGCAGTTGCTGAAAAGCGTCAAAGAGTCCCTGATCTCCAAAAAAATCTGGATGGCGGAGTTATTATAATTAGACGGGAATTGGTGGGTTAAGTTTGCAATTATAGGTAAAAAGCTTATTTTTTTACGCCACTCGGTTTGATGTTAACCTTGACACCATCCCCAATTTTCAGCACGATCATCAATGAACTCTTTCGGCGAGTCCTTGTTTCTCCCTCATCGTCTTCGTCCTCCACTTCTGGATCGACACTTGAAGGCAGAATTTCGTCTATGCACTCCGTCGTGTCCGTTTTCACGGTGGTTCGGATGTCAGAAGGCTTGAAGGATAGCATGGAAGGCAACGAAGTAGACAATAAAGTTGCATGCGGGATAGCTGCTGCCATAGCGTGTATTATAATTGTACGGTACCTTTTGGAGGATACTGAGCGCAACGCACTGTACTGCATACCAAGCGGCTTACCCATCGACCTTAATGAGTTCCACGCACCGTCGAAGGTATGCACCAAGCGCTACACGTCGAGTGACACAAATATGGTTCTTGCCTTTTTCCCTGTTCGAGAGGGGTCCTGTGGCACTTTCTGAGGGCGCAACTTTGGGAAATGGGCGATTCGGTGTTAATTTAATTATCTTGGATAAGGGGCGAGCCTTTGCTGAAGTAGGGGCATTTGCTTCTTGCTTTTCGCTGACAGGTGGCTTTCGGTTTGGAGTTTTTGGACCCTTATCCACTTTCTCCACCTTGTTCTTCTGCTTTTTGGCCCCAAGTTTGCTGTTCCCTGTGGTCGCCCGACTTACTGTCTTCGCGCGACCGTGCAGTAGTGGAGTTTTGGGGCCCGACCCGGGATCCCCTTCTGGGGCAACTTTGCGCCTCTTCGCTGGCACTGCTATTCCCTGCTCCACGACTTCCGTAGGCGTTGGATGTGGTCCGGAAGGCGCCTTTCGTTTTTTCTTATTTATGTTGCTGGCGCTCATGGTGAATTGACCCTTACGTGTGTCCTTCGGTATAAACAGGTGCATACAATGGTCAACGATCGGCTCAAAACTGTGGTTCGCCGCCTCCCACCTAGCCTTCCCGAAGAGGTGTTTTGGAAAAGCGTTTCACTATGGGTAACCCTGAGACTTCAACATTTCGATCATACCACCCCGGGAAACCCAGAACTAGGCAAGTAAGAGTGGGGGATGACTGGATTAACAGCCACTGAAGGTGTACCACTTGCAATAGGCCAGACAAAGAGGGTGTTCCATCCAGAGCATATGTAGCATTCAAGAACGCGGAACAAGTTGCAGTGTTCAGCCGCGAATATGATGGCCATCTGTTTCGCGATATGCAAGGTTGGCCTTGACCTTAAGTTCCTTCAGCTTCTCATATTTCAGTTTCTTTCAGGAAACGAAAGTTTTGCTGTTGTAGAGTTTGCACCATATCAAAAGACCCAACCGGAACGTAAGAAGCATGATGCGCGCTCGGGAACCATACATCAAGGCATGCTACCGTAGCGCGCTTCTTCGATTGACGTCTCACGATTATTTGGCCATAGACGAAGACTATCTTTCTTTCCTGGAGAGCTTAAATTCTGATGCAGATGCCAAACCTCAGGCTGTGGAGACTTTAACATCAAATGGTACGAGGTTATTCACGTCCCTGTTGTGAACTTACTCGTGATCAGCAGCTGCAGAAGATTCTAACTCGACGCCACTTCTGGAGGCACTCAAAGCTGGAAAAGCAGCTGCTCGAGATGCAGCCAATATTTTATCGTATCATGGTCATTACACTGGGGCGGATCGACGTCAGGCAGCCAAAGCCGCTAAGGAAGCCGCCAAGGCAGTAGACGAAGATCCCAACATTTTCTCTCGCTCTACAACATCATCCACCCTTCCTCGGACTATTCTCGTCAATTCTAAGCCGGACGAGAAGACGGGGGAGAAAGTGGGAAAACGAGGGGATGCGAAACAAACCCCTGCACCTCAGGGCAACGAAGCTAAGAAACGCGACAAGCGAGGCGATCCTGCCACTCCTCTGCCTGCTTCAAATCAGTCCCCGTCAAAAGCGAAAGCTCAAACACGCAAAGGTACCCCTAGCAATAGTGCCCTGACGACTGCGTCAGATGCAAAGGGGGTTGCGGCTCCCCCTGCTGAGCCAGCCTCCCAAGATCCTCCCAAGGAGCGTGAGCGGAAACGACCGATGCTTAATCCCCGGATGTTTGAAGCTGCATTGGCTGGCGTTGGTGCAACCAGTTTGCGTTCAAAGGAACGTCGCGACCAGAAGCTCTCGGGGGCTGCAAGCGAGGACAACAAGGCGGCATATGTTTCTGCTGAACAATCCAAGGAGACAGTTTTTAAAGAGAAGAAGTTGGCTCCCGTGTCGAAGGCGAAGAAAGGACGTGACGCATCGTCAAATCCCGAGCCCTCGGGCTCTTCCTCAGTATCTCTCCCCAGAGCTTCATTAGAAGCAACAGATACTGTTACTACACCGCAATCCCAGCCAGACTCAAGGGCCCAGGCAGCAAGCCGACAGCCTGAATCTCCACGTGGACACCATCGCCGCGGTCGTGGTAAAGGTCGTGGAGGAGCAAGAGGTGGAGCACCAAGTAATTCTCAACGGCAAGATAGTGAAAATCCTACCGGTGGAGGGTAGTAATGGCGTTGACCGTGTAAACCCCAGGATTTTAGGGTAGGGATTACACCAGCTGCCCCATGACCAGGTTTTTGGATCGACTCTGGACATTAGCGTCTTAGAGTGTTCCGCTCAAAATTGGTCAGGACTGCAGTGAGAATTCAATTCATGGTCGTTTCCAATGACACGTCCTATCCTATTCTGAAGTCCGGTAGTGAACATTCGATCACACATCGTGAAAATACACCAAGGTGCTTCTGGTTATTTCCATCTCATTTTCTGAGCGACTCTGCACGTAGAAACAAGTCTGGTGAGGCCCCGCCCTTGATACCGAAATATCGAGATCGATTGTATCCATTTGGAAGTGAGAACCAGAGAGAAATCCATAGAACAAGAATTGAAATACTGAAAATGATTCGAAGAGACCAGCAAACCTCAAGTGGTCACTACCGGGATACACTGAATCAAAACTAATTCACGACAGGGATAGGAAAAAGACGAGTGTGCACACTGGAATTGGGCAAGGCTGTATCTGCGCGCACGCGCGATAATCGGACTCTCGCGCGCGTCTTCCCACGCTGGTTTCTCTCCTGTTTGCTTCCGTCAACACTATTTCTTCTCAATGAAGGCGACAACTACGGCCCCTGCTTCAGCATCCACCGCGATACCGGGTGCTTCATTTCCATCTCACCAGCGTTCTTCTAGGATTGCACCGCATTCTCACATTCGGGGTCTCGGATTAGATTTACATGGTTATGCTTCAGTCAATGCTGGTGGTTTTGTGGGTCAAGATATGGCTAGAGAAGTCAGTTAAGGCTTCCAACGGTTAAATGACTACTGACTTGTACACACATTTGGCATGAATGAAGGCCTGCGGCGTTGTTGTGGATTTGATTAAGTCGCGAAGATTCTCTGGCCGTGCTCTTCTGCTCGCTGGCGCTCCTGGCACTGGGAAGACAGCTCTTGCTCTTGCTATTTCTCAGGAGCTAGGTACAAAAGTGCCCTTCTGCCCAATGGTTGGCTCTGAGGTCTACTCGGCCGAAGTGAAGAAGACGGAGGTGCTTGCGGAAGTTTTCCGACGAGCCATTGGGATAAGAATCAAAGAGACGAAGGAGGTTTATGAAGGAGAACTGACGGAACTTACTCCTACCGAGTCGGAAAATCCTCTCAGTGGATACGGGAAGACTATTTCGCATGTGGTCATTTCATTAAAGACTGTGAAAGGCACAAAGCAATTACGATTGGATCCAAGTATCTATGAGGCTATAATGAAGGAAAAGATTGTGGTCGGTGATGTCATTTACATAGAGGCTAATACCGGTGCCGTCAAGGTAGATGTCGGTGGTTTGTCATTTGATTTGGCTGATTAGTTGGCGTTCAGCGGGTCGGGAGGTCAGATGCCTATGCATCTTCGTTTGATCTCGAGTCTGAGACTTATGTCCCGTTACCCAAGGGAGATGTCCACAAACGAAAGGAGTTAGTTCAGGATATCACGCTCGGGGATCTAGACAGTGCGAACGCGCGACCTCAGGCGTGTACTCCAATCAATATTGTTGTTTGTTCTTTTGACTGATTTATTCCTTTAGGGTGGGCAAGATATCATGTCTGTGATGTCTCATATTGTCAAGTCGCAACGGACAGAAGTCACTGAAAAGTTGAGGCGCGAAGTTGACCGGGTTGTGAAAGGTTATGTCGATCAAGGGGTGGCCGAGATAGTTCCTGGGGTGGTTTTCATTGACGAGGTAGGCTGGGCCTAATGGAACCCCTAGGTTCCCTTCTAATTCGTTTTGCAGGTCCATATGCTGGACATCGAATGCTTCACGTACCTAAATATCCTCCTCGAATCGCCCATGTCACCCACTGTTGTTCTCGCAACAAACCGAGGCACGTCCTTGGTGCGTGGTACTACAGACATCATAAGCGCACACGGCGTGCCTGTCGATCTCTTAGACCGGTATGTTGTTGCGCCATTTATCAAGAATCTTGATCCATGTTGCCTTCAGTTGCCTGATCGTTAAAACCGAGACATACACGCCAGAGCAGGTGGCCAAAGTCGTCGAACTTCGGGCGGCAGTCGAGGGTCTTACCTTAGGTGAGGGTGTATTGGAACGTCTATCGGTGGAGGGTGCTCGACGCAGCTTGCGGTAAGCAGATAGTACTCTATTTCACAACACTGCGCTCAGCTCATTCCCACAGCTACGCAATACAATTACTCACCCCAGCCTCCATTCTTGCTTCGCTGCAAGGACGGAAGTACATCACACTGGAAGACATCGGGGAGATGAACGAGCTATTCTTAGATGCTAAAACAAGTGCCCAATCGATGAGCTGATGTATTGTATTATGGTGAAAGTTCTATGCTGTACGTCGTCATCCAAAAGTATATATACAGACTAATATGTGTGGTATGATATTTGATACGTTCTTACAAACTGCGCATTGTAACAATTGGAGCCGAGATGGGCGGGTGGAATGATCTGCTCCTCATCTGGCGTGGAAGTTTGATTTGGAAACATAAGGCTTGTTTAGGACCGAATTTCAGCCCACAATCGAGCGTCACTGGTGACGACCGAAGCAGGAATAGGTGCTGCTCTATCTAGGCGGGGCAAAAAGAGTCCTTGCGAGGTGGTCCCGTTTCCTTCCTGTTGCCTTGACCAGCCCTAGGAGGTCCAATTCATGAAGCGAATGAAGGAAGCGAGCTTGTAATTCTCGTTTCCACTGTGGGCTTCCCTGGGAGAGGGCATCAGTGGGTGTGACATTGTCTGTTCCTTCCTTCCTTGACGCGGATTCATCGAGCCCCGCCACACTTCGGTGTGTCGCCTCATGCATCGCGCTATCGCCTAACCCATCGTTAGTATGGACATCGTCTTTCCCTTCCTTTGGCCGTGGTTCCCCTTCCATCGCCTGAACGTAACTCTCGAACCAATCATATATATTGACCATCTTGCCGCTCTCGAGATAACGTCTGAATATCACTGAGGTGTCGGGTTGGTCCCGATAGGCTAAGTTTGCAAGAGATATCACGGCGGGCGTGACTTCGAACAAATCATTGCTGGCATTGGTTGGCGCCAATGTCCTAACGAGGCTCTGTTGAATAGATGGGTTGAGGTACTGCATAATGCAGACGACTTGAGAGGCAGCTATATGACAGGAATGAGGGCCACTCACCTCCATAGGTGAAAGATCCGACTCTACATGCCACAGCTGGTGTAGGGGTACATCAGTGAGTGGATGAAATTGGTTTCTATAAGAAATTCCATAATGAGCGCTCCGAGGGATTTCTTAAGACAGCAACTTGCCGGAAATAATGCTCAATCGATGTTGCCATCTTAAGCGAAAGAGTTGAGACCTCAGGAGGTACTACAAGCAGATTAGAAAACTGAAAAGGCGTATCTGGCACCTGCTTGGCTGATTGGTTTGCAGACATAATGGCAACGGTCTCATTGAACCACCTGTCCCAATTCTGGGCAATGGTATGTAGCTCGCCAAGGTGCGCCGGGTGGTCGACCTTTCTGCACACCGATGTCAATCGTGACTTGATTTTTTCGAGCCAATCCAGTGTAGCTCTTCTTCATATACGTAAATGAGATATGCATCAATTCTTAATGTATCCGCTGCATGGACTTACTTCATACGATGTTGAATATGTGAGACCTCGTTCGTGAAAACGGTCCCTTGCATTACCGCTCGTATGACGTCTGGCGCCGGGATTTTGGCTAACCTGACACCAGCCGCACGGAGCAGTATCCGAAGGACTCGTATGGAAAATTTCCATCTGTTCATTCGGCATTGGAAAGCATCCCTGGCCAAGGAAATGTATTCCAGCACCCAATCATCTTGTAATGAATTCATAGGGCCATGTGAGTCTCTAGAAGTCTTCATTCGTTTGAGAATTTGGACTGTGGCTTCCGCGAGTGGATACTGATTAATTGCATGTCGAACCATCCCATGGATCTTTTCACGAAACAAAGCTGATTCGGGTAGCTTCATTCGTTCGAGAACAAAGGGCGCAAGGTCAGGGACGAGAAACACGGAGGTGGGAGAGGAGAAGTGTTTTGCAAGGATCATCTTCAACCCCATCAGTGATGTAGACACAGACCAATGACCAGCGGGCACACCTGAAATGCAGTGCAAAATGAATCAATGGAGTGCTCCTGATATGCGAAGCTGTCATAAAGATGTTCAATGAGGCTGGACGTGAGTTGGAAACCAGGGTCGAATTTTGGGAGCAAAAATAGCTGCGATCATGAAGATTAGAGTGCTTAAATTCTGCGTTTTTGGAGATAAAATGTGCACGTCTTACCCCCAGGATCAATTCATCGAATAGCCTGCGACCTCCTTCCAACTGGAAATCGTGGATCTCCATCGAGCTCAGAACTTCAAGGGTGACGAGGGACCGCATGATCTGAGAAGAGGTGGATGTGGTCAGAATGAATACCAAAGGGAGGCGAGGGATGCGAGAGCTGCAAAGTGAAGGATTAACAGCCAATAGAAGTGGAGCGAAGGCTGGACACGTACGAACAGATATGAAAGAAGTCTTGCAAAACACTCGAATTGCACGATTCCACATTTGGGATGTACACCACCAATCTTCGCTTATCCTCGGGTAGATAGTCGAGCTCAAGGCTGTTGTACCAGGCTCCAAGTACCTCGATATCTGTGTTTGCAAGCGTTGTCCCGTTCGGTCGTTTTTTGGTCACGGTGGCCTAATACAGAAATAAATGAGAACACTGAGATCGTAGAGGGATGAGAAGCAAATAACAAAATCTAATGCTTGCCTGGGCGGCAACGAATCCACTGATCAGTGCTCGGAGCGCGGAAGGCAGGTTAACAAAATCTTTTGATGATAGCCTGGCAATAGGAAGCTGCTCAGCTGTAGAGGGTGTATCTGAGTCGCGTACTGCGTCTTCTAGGACCTCCGACTCCTGGAACTGACGAACAACAGAATCGAAGACTAAGTCTGCTGAGTTGGAGTCGCCTGGCATGGTAAACCGTCTGAGAGACCATGCAGATATGCCTCGTCCACGAGCAAATGACCTCTCACCAACTAATAGCATGATCGGGATTTGGGGATAAGGGAGAGAGAATTTGATCGGTTTATACGTTTCTTCGACCTTCCGCATCACTGATTCAACGACTTTGGTGTGCGCTTGTCTCATGAGTGTCTTTGGTAATTCAACGTGTCGTCAGATTAGACATCATTGTCGGTGTCTCGGAGGGCCACTTGGAGTTCTGGAAACGCGTACTTGTATCCTGGCCGAGCACCGATGCCAAATATCTAAATATGCACAGAATCGAAGCTCGGCGCCACCGCTAAGGTCATCTGCAGGCGATGCTGGCATCCTTTCGTTCCACGCGGCCGCTCCTCTCATATTCTCCGAGTCCCCATTATCTGAGCTGATTATTTAGCGTAAGGAGTGGGCTGAGGAATATCCCCACCTGCCCCCGAAGATTCATCTTCATGCGGGATGACAACAACAGGCTGATACACTTAGCACCTTGATGTCTCTTATATAGCTCATCTACTCACAGTTGAGTCTAATCTTGTACTGGACGTTGAGAACGACATACTTATCATGAACTGGGGAGACACAATTGAATCGGCTGACGCCGCTTGTTCCTCAGTTGACGCCAGGCGCTTCTGCAGACATGTCAAGAATATTGCGTATTATATGTAATGTTTTCAGTACGAGATGACAATGCACGGTCCCCTTAAGAAGCTAATTTGCTCAAGAGCCAACCACCCCAAGAATACCACCCAAGACGAATAGTCCTTTGCGATGCTCGCCATCAAGTTCGGAAGACCTCGTGCCAGGTTGAGCCTCTGATTCACTCACTTTTAAAAAAGGAAGTGATATTTTTGGGATTCCAGATACTTCCAATATTTCTCCAGGCAACGAATCCAAGCTAAAGAGCATTTTATTCGAGCCGTGACCAGGACTAGGAGTATCCGAAGCCCCATATTCATGCTGTCCGTGCTCGCCAACTTCGAAAAGATGGGCGTCACCAGCTTCATGCAGGTTGTGAGAGGGTCCTCCATCATGATGAGTTGAGGCAGATGCCACAGTCATTACGCGAGGAGTGCTACGCTCGGGGTGGGCCTGGGTCGAGCATTTTTCTTTTGACAAGAAATTGTCGGGCAAGTAAGGCTGTAGCAAATGCCTAAATGGTATGACCTCTTCACAAGCAAGTTGAACTCACAATAATGGGGCCTTCGTCCGGAACCTCTGGCTCCTCGGGTAACTTAATTTCCAACACCTTGCGTCGGCGAGGGGTGAATTTACTGGAAGCGTCGCCTTGGTCCGATTGTGCGCTCGTTACGAACATTCGTGCGGCGGGGGCGAAAGCAGCGGGCTTCAGTTGTGTGTGCACCTCGGCGCAAAGCGATTCAGCGAATCTCCGGACCAGGACTCGCGTGTTCCTGCCTCTAAAATAGACATCAACACGCAATAAGGATTCGTTGTCAATTGACGCACTGAGAGAGCCTTGTGGCATTGGCTTCCCGACGAAGCTCATTAGCACTTCTTCCCGTCCATTTCTCAGTAGAGAGCAGAAGGGTGGATAAGAGTCCACGGGAAGGTGTCATCTCATAATGGCTGGTTAAACCCACGACCGCTCTCCTCGCGAACGGTGGGACGAGCATGATGTCGTGGGTGAGAATTAAATTGCCCCCAATCTGTTCACGTGTGTGGGATTGTCAATATTATCACAGCTCGGGGTCGAGAACATCACTAGAGCGCGCAAAATACGTGCGCCAGGACATCGAACGCATATAGTGTGGCTAGCTGTATTTTGGGTATTGTGTTCAAGCCTAAGTCAGCAAAGAGGTTCCTTGAGAAGGTAACTTCCTAAATTGGGAGATCGGATCCTGGCGGGCCTCATGTTTTCTGCGCTTTGCGTCAAATTTGCCCATCTTACCTGAAGCAAAAGCTCAATTTCCTTCTACAACTCGTCAAGCAACTTCCGTATTTCCGTAGTGCCCACGTCGATCGATCGCAACCCGTACCATGTTCAAAGGCGCTCCGAGAAGAGATCTTCCTGGTCTGCAGAACTTGAACCTTCCCCCAGTTTCCCCAACACTTACGAACGCAACCTTACGCTCAAATGTAACATCTACAACGCAAATATACCGGCATTACGACAAGAAAAAGCAACAGAATGAATGGGGGGTGAGTCAAATGTTATAACAGACCCTGTTCCTCGCCTGCCTGCCTGCCTGCCTGCCTGCCCGCTCCCTTGCTTTTCCGACGGCATCTATCTATCACCATAATCGATTGAAGCATTTACTCTCCCCTCGCGCTCCTCCCCTCTCCCCACCACTAGAAACTGTGTTGTGCTTTCCTTTCCCATTTTCCCATCATCGAATCCAGCTGAGGGGTAGTAACTTAGTGCTGACATTATGTTCCTCTCCCGCTACCAGTCTCCGCAGCCAAATTACCCTCCTATAGGGGTAATGGCCAAGCAGCGCTACTTGACGCTGGCGTACGAAGACATGGAGACGATCAAGATTCTCCCACCCACCTTCGCAGTGAGTATCGTCATCGGATCTTCGTTTAGACTCTGCGCCTCGTGTCTTGATGACATCGCACACACCTTTATGCGTGCAAAGGATAGCCTGTTTTTCATCTTATGGCAGCACGGGTCTTGTAAGACTTCCATCCAAAACCCGTCTGACATGCGAGCCATATTTTACCTTAGGATGCTGTTGCCGTCGCCAAAGAATGGGTCAGACCGCCCCTGGGGTACCTTTCCAATTACGAGTCCCGGTTGAATACGCATCCATTCAAGCATCTAGACTCCTTCAAGGTTGGATCAAACGCACTTCCTCCCTCCACCATTAATCTAAATCATCTGTTTTTGTTAGGACCATACCTCTACATCGACACTGATGACACTTATCAACTTGCGCAAACTTCACACGGTTTGCGCATGGAAATCGTGACGGATGCACCACCTCCCCCTGAAGAGGAAGTTAATCCTCCGCCTCCCCCGTAAGTCAACATTCAGATACCAACTATTGTGTACTGATGATAGCCAACTTAGCCCACCTCCTATCTTAGAGATGCCGGCGACCTTCAATTTGGAGCTGACACCAGGGCGGACAGTTGCGTTAGAGACGAACTGTGAATCGGATGATCTGGACATGTCACGCACTGAGGACGGAATGCTCGTTGAAGGATCGTTTTGGGGCGTCTTGAAAATCATTCATCAAGACGACAATCATTCGATGGACTTCTCAGGAACTCGGCTGGGCATTGCCTCCGCCACTGCTCCAGTCATTCCTAACGAGCTTTTCTTCGACTCTAGAGTCATGGCGAAACTCATGATGGCTGCTGCAAGGCCAACAACCGCGAAGTGTGCCCTGACGATTCTTGCGCCCAGTCAACAATACTGTGACGTTAACATCAGTCTGGCACCAATGTGGCGGTTTGGTACGACGTATCCTACAGCGGAGCCTGCAGGGGATCGTAAAATCAAAGTAAGCAGCAACTATTATGTAGAACATATTAGTTTTAAGAGGCTTCTCTGTCCAGTATTTCTTACGGGGCCATCCCGATGGGTATTTAGAGCACTTCGAATCTAATGCTGTAGTCACGTCATTATATTATGAGGCCCTGTATGTTTATTTTAATACTGGAGTACCTTGCGCTCACCTTGGGAATCCTGCAGTCCAGACACATCGCAAATGGATCCAGTCTCATACATATCCCCCTCCAATGGATTCGCCATGCCGCTTTCGTTGTTTATCCCTCACATTAGCAAAGTATTGGATGACCTTGGCCTTTCCATCTCAGCGAGAACCCTGTTTATTAGGCGAGTTGGACCTCTCATCTGCACTACCAATCTCATTTCAATTGCTGCAGTAATGCTGTGGCGAATTTCGCTAATCATAAGCACATTGCCTACCGTTTCATGCAGCCGGCGCGTCTGTCCGCTGCTATCGATCTTAGCGTATCAACGGAACCTGCTGTTTTTACTCGAATTTTCTTGATGTGGCGGGGGGTCAGCGACGAAGAGATGGTGAAATTTGCAGACTCTAGCGAGAAGGAGGCAGACGCAAAAGAGTGGAAGGAAGTCATTGGCTTCAGCGACGAAAGTAAAGACATATCGAAGTTTAGAGTGTTGGAGACAAGCATAATGGAGTGCGTCAATAACACCCTCTTCACAATCGTCAGGTTCTTACGCCGAGTTTGCAGATGTGCATAGGACTGATTGCCCCATTCGCATTCTGGCGTGCCCATGCCTGACGTTGTATACCCTAATTTGGCTTTGTTATTGCTTACTTTCGATCACACTCATTGCCTCTGCTTGCTGAAAATCCCTGCGATCTGCCTGGCTGCTTTCGTGACCCGCTTTGTCTCCCCGAATCGGGGTTGCCGTTTGCCTGTGTTTTCTAGCGCTTGATCAGATTAGGAGTAGTACCAGTGCACGTACATAGAAAATCCTCTAGTAATTAACCAGGTTTTCACAACTATCCTTCTAGCACTTTTGCTTCATTCAAAGCTACCATACGAGGGTGAGTTGGGGAGTGGTACGAGTGTTAGTTCATTTGGCATTGAATGAGCGCTATACGACTTGAGGTCCAATGCCACCATAAGTAACACCAGTCTTGTAGGACCCGCTCGTGTTAATCCACGCTGGATGTTCGACTGAGTTTCATCAGGTAATTGGCAGCATTCACTGAATACGGTCGGGGTTACAGCGCGAATTCTTGCCGATGGGACAGAACTACACAGGTCCTGCTTTTGCTGGACTCCCGTTCACGAGGTCACTAGGTGCAGAGCATCCGCCCTGGAAGGTGTGAAGAAGTCTGGCCTAATCTACTCGGAACATGTTTATCCACATTGCATCTTGCACCACAAGAAAAAAGACACGCACGTCCATCTCCACGTGGGAGAGTTCGTTCTAGAGAAATATGTTCCGCTGATGGTGCTTCCGATAATGCCATCGACGTCCAGGGCAATACCGTCGGGCTTCAGGTTTGCGGAATTTGATTATGGGAAGGAGAGACATTGAGGTTCGGAAGTTGGATCCATCACGGCAATATCGTTCTTCTGCCTTGTGACATGTTTGAAATTTTTTGATTGGTAAAATGACCGTTTGCACAACTCCCAACGTCTGCAAGAACAATCAGTACGTTCCTCAGTTCTATCTTCCCTTCAAACACCCTGTGAGTCGCCACAAATCTCGAAGCGAGGACCGGCAGTTCAGTGGCATCCATACTGTTGCTACACCCACGAAGTTGAGTGCTATTCGTAAGTGAAGCGAACACGACCAAGCTAAGGAACGGTGCCACGGGCGTAGTGAGCATACTCTCAGGGGTAGGATGGGTATTAGCACATCCTTGCCAAGATCCTTATGAGCACTAAACACATAATTCAGGGCCCACTGGCTGTTGAAGGCGGTCCTAACAGTGCTAACAGGAGGTGTTGGGCGGAAATCATACCGTTAAGCCGAGCACATACCAGGGACGCTATTGCTAAGCATCCTGAAAAGTAAAAGATTAGAATTATGTCATCTCCGAGTCATAATAGGAGATTTGGACAACATGGCGCCAGGATGATCTCCTGGCGGATGCCGAGACTCTGGTGTCGGAACGCCCTTCACCCGCAACTCTTTCCTTTCAATGTGGGGATGCAGTCCAATTACTTAAATGGCTCTAGTCGTGACTAAGTGAGAAGTGAACAACTTCTAATCAGTGAGAACTTTCCCGCGTACAGTAGCATACGCATGAAATCCGGCCCGTGAACGACCCGGTTGAAAGTAAAATCGGGGACAGTTCGTGACTGCCATAGGGTATGGGTCAGCAGGGACAGTGCCTTCTTTCCGTCCTTCCGAACGACTGCCTCAGCGATAGTACGGGGCACTTAACAGAACAATGGACTCCGTTATAAAGGCATGCAAGAAGCACCTAGTCACTGGAAGAATGTAACAAGTCAAGGAGAGCGCTGCCACCGAGCCGAGGACAATAGATCAGGCTCCATGTCCGGGGAGTAGTGGTTGACCCCTAGTTCATTCGCTCGAGAGCGAGCAAATGGGGACGAGGTGAGTAGGCGAATTATGTTGGGTGTTTATAGGGCCGAGGGGCAACCAGTGCCAAAAACAACCATCCAGCTAGAGAAGAAAGCAAGAAAGATGACCAGCCTTACTGAAATACCCCAGCGATGGGTCACGTCAAACACTTGACGTTTCTCCACTCTCAGTTCGACCCCAATCACCTTTGGGTTGGAGCCTTGCCAGGGTCCAGATACCACGACAAAACCACGTCACAGCCTTTGCACGCAGAATCTGCCAAAGCAGTCTTAAAAGAATCATTCGTGTAACCCGTGCTGGGTTGCTGATTCAATTCCTCGCTCACTAGATGGGTAATACTCACTCATTGGAATGGGGTTCGGGCTCGCTACCGGGATGGAATCCTTCCCGATTGGACAGCCAATTGCAGGTTCCCTTTCTGGTGGGCGGCGCTCACAAGATTATCAGGCAGAAGCGCCCTCGAGTGTGTGAAGTCCGACCCGACTTGTCCCAGGAAACATATTGCGTCTCGTGATGCAGAAGAGGAACATACGCACTGCCAACTTCGTGGATGAGGGTGTCTCCATCGATAATTCTTCCAATGACGCCGTCAACGTCAAGACAATTCTGTCAAGCACCAGGTTGTGGAATATGACCATAGGAAGGAGAAGCCTATCCGTGAGGGGCCGCGGGACCCTAGATGTTGGGAGAGCAAATTCCTCCCTTCCTGAGCAGCGTTTTCGTGGCCACTGCCCAGAAACGATAACAAAACACAGAAGGATACAGTACAAATTCGCTCGCCGATTTCGCCAGGGTTGGACCACAAATTCTCGTCGATATGGAATATATATGGAGTATAGTGACGAGTCGGAAGGTGTACCCCACAGCGGCAAGGCCAATTCCCACTCTTGTAGTTTGGTCGTAGAGCTACCTACGGGTAGGATAGCCTGTATGGCAAAGATGGTCCGGGTGACGTACGGGCATGTGGAGCGCGGCACCCAAACTTCACGTACTTCGACCCTTGATCATAAGCCAACAGACATAGATAGCTTCAAGTGACCGCTCTTCCAGCTCTCTTCTCCAGTACTCTCACTCTTTAAGTTCTTCAACCAAACCCGGACGTGAAGGCCGGCAGTCGGACTTCACCCACATTGCTGCCACACCTACATGGATGCGTGCGGTGCAGCGAAATATATTTAAGCCGAAGAGGGGTGTCACAAGCGTGGAGAGTAATGTGAGTATCGTGTTCCAAGGACGAGCTGGGGGCTGGATGGGGTGCTTGAAGGGCGTTAGCACCTCATCGACAGCAGCTCCATACAGCCTTGCGTTCATAACGCACGGTGCCTGCATGCACCCATGCCCTCACGCTTTTGGAGCTACTTTTCATGAGTTGCAGACTTGCAGTATCACTGTACTTCTTCAATAGTACACCGTTTGGGTTTCATTTCGGTGCACTTGGGGGCAGTGGCATCACTTAGAGAAAACAGCGGAAAAAGATAGAGCCCACGGGTGCATGAGCCAGCGAAAAAGCATTACCGAACAGTGTATAACGTTACGCCGAATGGGCGACTAACCGGTGGAGGGAAGCGACCATTGTAAACTGTTTAATGGCGATATCGAGGTATGACATCCAATTGGACGTCACAAGACGGGGAAAAGGGACGCATAATTCGAGCACCAAAGCACAGGACACAGAAAGCAGAATCCAGTGTGGTTAACGTATGAGCCCAAAAGCTGAGTCTGGGACTGGGATAATCACTAAGGTGAGTGAGTTTAAGTGGTGCATCAGTAGTGTTGCACATGTGTCGTTCGATCCAACGAAATATTCCATACAGGCGGTATGCGTCAGTGTCGAACTGCGCCGAGAGCCTTCTGACAAAGCGTTCACATGATGAAATGTCGACGCAAGTTTAGAGGAAAGAGGACACGATGTTGAGTCCTCAGATGCGTCTTGGAAAAGCTTCTCTCCGAGTGAGGCTACTGATAGCCACTGCTTCTAGTGGGTATTACTTGCGGTTGTTCCAAATTATTGTGAGGTTGCAAAATCTGAAAGCGGCGTTCGCCGGGCATTCAGAATGCCGCGCGCGGGTAGTGACTGTTCTGTCATGCCTGATTATCTCTGCGGACTTCACTAAGGTTCCGTCAGTTAGAATGATGAGAGAAAGCTCGCTTCACGTCCAAAATGTTGCCAATGACTTATCTGTTTGTTTAAAGTGGTGGCCCTCCCCGAGACCAAACGTACGCTGGCAATCCGGCCCAAACTAAACACATCCCGAACGGACCAATCGCAGCAGCTCATACTGTATGCGCCACGGAACTCTGGAAATCTCGATGTCCTGGCTATATAGGCTGAGTTTTCCTACTCCGGCTCGAAACGTTGGGATCATCGAGCCGATGTGTTGAATTATTCAACAGCGCTCAGTGTCCTTCTTAGCCACAACCTCTCTCGAGTCATTCCAGTATACTGTTTCTATCCCGCATATTAGACGTCTGTACCGATCTCTGTCGCCCATTGTAGTATCAAGTCCAGACTCCAATGTTATCACCGTACTGTTCGGCCACATCACCTACTCACCATAATTGATGGTAGGATCAATCAGAGCCACATTGCGCGCCTTCGGCCGAGGATTGGATCACCCTCTAACGCTGTCGATGTCTGAATCTTGCCAACAAACTAAGAGTTAGCAGCGTCTTCTTGTGGGTGGCGCCTCAAAGTCGGCATTGCGTCTACTTACCTCTTCAGCTGACGTTGTTCGAGATGTACATTAACGCGAACCTTGATTTTCCCGAGCACACCGGTGCCTGACGATACGCGCTGAAACGCACCGGGCGTCCACACACACGAAATCTTGAGGGTATCCATCCAAATACTAAACGATGGAGGAAATACATACCTTGTGAATGTTTTCATCGATTCTCCTATTCAACATCACATCATTGGGCTCATGAATACCGATTTGCCGTGACCGTTGATGGGAGACCCACAGGCAGCCTGATATGAACTCCTGCTCTGCTGATAGTATCACAGCTTCATCGGCGAACGAGGAAATTCGACAAGCGAAGGCATTTCGGCAGGGCGAATCCCGTTTGTTCTCGCGTAATCCATTTACTTCACAGACTTGGAACGCCCAGTCCCAATTATCCAGTGGCAGAAATGACCATCCTGGCGTTTGTGATCCGCGCAATTAAACCCATCTGAGCAGCATGCCACACCTCGCGCGCCACGCCACACTTCAGGACCATATGAGCAGCGCAGGCTGGTGCGGTGAAAAAGAAGAAATTGCACAATGAGTTGGGAACGATGTCGACCTAGCCACTCGTAGTTAGCTCGCCGAAGGATGGCTTGACTTACAAGTATTTGCATCCGAGGACTCAACACTCTGCTCACCGCGTTTGTCCTGCCGGTTCATTCTTGCTGCTCCCCCTCCACTTTCTTGAGTGAGATATACCCTTCCTGATGACATTTACGGCGCTCCGGTGTGTCACACGCGTTCAAATACGATGATCAATTGATTTGATGTGCACGTTTTTAGAATGACACTCTGCATCGCAGGGGTTGTGCTCGTTACTTCTATATTTAGTGCCTCATCAGCCCTGCTGGGGGCGATGTGGTTCTCTTCAAAGCATCGTCCCTCCCTGCGGGGCATGTTCATATTATCTATTATACTTGTGCCGCTACATTCCATGCAACTCGGTGAGTGCAAAGACCAGAATCACGCCAGTTAATATTCATTCATTCTCACACCATAGTCACTGGGATTCTCCTCCTGTTCCAGTACATCAGTTCTTGTTAGTATGCTGTTGTACCAGAATATTGAGGTTTTCAATCACCATCTTGACCTGTGTTCTAGGCAATCCGATCAATGAAGCGACTGAAAAGATATTACGAAGTTGCCACCATCTAGTCTCTGTTCCGATTATCAACGTGTTTCACTGTGAGTAGTGCAATTCTGACAATTGACTATGTTCCCACTCTGATTACCTTCAGTATTCCTGAGCTTCAGGCAAGGTTTTCGCCATTCCATCAACCATTCTAGAGTCTAATGCCATCGATGGTCAGAGCCCTACGGTTGACCTGTGAATGCTTCAGCTGCCGGCGAATAATGCGCCCAATTTTGCTGTTCTGTTGGGTGATCACAATTTTTCTCTGTGCAGCTGAGTCCGGTGAGCGCTATTGTGTCTCACACGCTTCCTTCGCCTAACATCAACAGCACTATCAATTTATGGAGAAATTTTAGTGGAGCAGGGGCCGTAAGTTTTTGCTGCTCTTGCTCATCGTGGCGATCTTATACTGTAGTTTCCGTTCCGCCCATCAGATCACACGGTCTCTTTCGAAATCGCATACTGGCGACAGCCATGTTCGCAAACACCATCTGCTTGGTCCTGGGTTTCACAACGAGTCTTATCGGCCTATGGCATGTAGAACAACGTCGAATTCTTAGCAGAGGGCTGCGAGAATCATTTTGTGATGACATGCTTAGGCAGGTATCATTCAAATGGAGGAAACGTTGTGTATGTAAAGGCCCATACTTGTCCAACGCCACACTGTATTAAACAACAACAACTCTCAAGATTCTTGCTTTTCTCCTCGTTCTCCCAGTACAACTTCCAAGAGGATTCCTTCTCCTCTTTTGGGTGAGAGACATCATCTGATGAGAGCTCGCGGACCAATTTTTTTTTCATCCTTTGCCACTAGCCCAATCCACTTGTCATGGATTTGACGTCGGTTTTGTCGGGACCAGTTAGGTTTCCTTTACGTTTGATCTTAATGCGCGCGGAAATCTGATGTTTTCTGTGAAGGCACATTATTTATCGTTTTTGATATTGGTTCTCCGGATCTCATCGTGGGGAAGTGTTGATGAGGGCATAGCCCTTAGTCCAATATCACCAGAAAGTGGGGGTGTTGCTATCAATAATGATTCTCCCGTTCCGGCAATTGTTGATGCGTCCAACGTACGTTTTCTACTTGATGACTACCACTGGAGGGCCAACAACTGACTCGGATGCGCAGGATGGCGAAATCCTTGTGATTGGACTTCCACCATGGAGAATCGGTTCGGTAAGCCTTGTGTAGCAAACCCCACACTCCTACATGGTCTCATCATCTCACTGCCAGACTTCCGAACCGACCGGTAACTCAACTAGCAGGCAAGGACACTGGCACGTGTGTAGCCAGTGATGGCTTGAACCGGCTCCTCGAGCCCCAATCGGCACAGAGCAGAGCAGCGGACTGGGGAGCCACTCAGCACAGGTTCAATTCCGTCAAGGGGATATAACGCACTGTACTTCCTGCATATTTATACCGTGGAAGGGGCATTATCCATGAAATATGCCCCCCATAAATTTCTCACTGCGCCGTTTTCGCGGCATACATTTGTTTATCAAATCCCATTTTCTTGTAGTCTCACGCATGAAACCAATATATAGTCCTCACCCGTTTTGATTTCTGTCGCGAAACGCCTTGTTCACTGCTGACTATCCAGGTGTAGAACTTACCTGAACGATGAAACCCGGAACTGCCATGCGCACCGTGGATTCCTTTAGCGTCGCTGGCGTTCCTCCAAGTACGGCCGGTGCGACGGGGGAAACTCACCAACAGTCCGCCTCGCAAATGTCATCAAGGAATCTAGTGACCGCCAATTGATAGAATATCAGCAAGCCAGCGGTTGACACGAGGTGAGTTGATTGCGATCGGCGTCTCATTCCGATCGTTGGAAGTAAATTCGATGCACAAGAATCATGTGAAGTTACCAGGAATAGTTCCGAAAAAGTGGTATCAAGTGGCGTCACTGGCTAGCGTCTCCAATGTGCTTGCGTCATCAATAACTTGACCCATTGTTCCATATGGCTTCAAGTGCTTCCTGACCTGAAGAGTGTTTTGCCGAGATTGCTGACCTCTGTGACCTACCTCCACCCGACTTCACGATGGTTCTTTGCATACACCTCAGCTACGTACACCCATGCCTATGGGTCACACCTAGTTGCTCGCTCCACGTCGCCAGCATTAACCGGGGAAGCGCTTCTCGGGGGAATGAGATGGCGTTTGCAGGTCCTTATGGTGAGCACATTTCAACCTGTATTATTATATTCGTCGCACTCGCGGAAACAGCATACTCTTGGAATACTCACGAACTTGCCCCAACTGGCGATAGTTGTTACACAACATCTGTCTCCAAATCACTGGTTGTCACCCGACCAGGACTGCACTCTCCCACAAAAGGTTGCGTACACTGGGCATTATATTCAAGACTCTACGGCAATAACATGGAGGCGCTACTCTAGTGCAAAATGCAGTCGACAGAAGGATCTCCCTCTCAGAACTACGGAAGCCACCCCGGGTTGAATGTCCCCCAGATGATTTGTTATTTAATGGAGGTACGAGATTAAATTAGGCTTGTGCGCACTCAGTCTAAACGCACTCATTGGTCTCTTTTCGCGCGTGGCATTTTTCCCGGTGGTGTTTAATCTTATGCGCCGTACCCGCTGTCGGCCTTACGCATACTGTGCCTTCCGAGGTTACAGTCATGCCGATTCAGGTTTTTGCCGCTGCATTCCTGGGTCGATTCTTCCGGACAATCTCATCCGTGAGTTTCGTCCGCCTATGCTACAGGGCTCTGGCCCTCTTATACCTTTCCTCTGCTGAAGGCGTGTTCTTTCTTAGTCTTTTCTTTTATCCTGTATGCTGTTTTTTGACGAAGACATTCCTTCGTCTTCCTTGCTTCCGGTAAGCCTTTCGGTCTCGCCGAGGGGGAGGTGTTGTGACCTTCGGTTACTCTCGGTGGGTGGGATCCCGATTGCTTACTTAGGTTTTTCTAGGTTTCCTTTTTTCGGTTGTTTCCTTGCTCGCTGTAACTTCTGTCTTTCTTTCCTCATTGCTCGTTGTCCTTGTCGTTTGCGAAACCCTCCTCCTTCCCCGGTCTCCTCCCTATTGTATTTTAACCGGGTCGCCTTCAATTCCAGAGGTTCTGGCATTTGCCGGGACTGTTGCCCCGCTAATCGCTTGAGTCTCCTGCGTGCACACAAGCAAGGAGAAGTACACTCTGGCATTCACAATGAACAGTTAGCTAGACATCGTGTGGATCTACATTGTTTGGGTTGGGCGCTTCAGCGCTCTAGTCTTTTGATTCAAGGAATCGAATCGAATGTCCTCTCGATAGTCGCCTTCAAAACATATATGCAGAGTCGTTTATACCAGGCCATTTGCGTTTTCCCATAGCAGTCAACCATCACCACGTCGTCCGAATGCCGTCCCAGCCATATGTAGGAGAACTTGACTAGCACCAGGGTTTCTGCTAGATGTGAAGCGTCGCCCTGAGTAGTGACCTATAAATGAGTAATAACTACGGCTGGCGCGGCAAGCGCCCACTGCCCTTACACTTTCGGGGGTTGTTTTGTTACATCACGATATTAGCATTCTCCCATAATTTTCTTTTCTTCTTGATTCTTCAATTCAACAGTGCGACTAAACAGCCCCGGGTTCCACTTCAGCATACTCGGAGACAGTCACCTTAGGAAAAGCATGTCGAAACTGGAAGTGCGGATCGTGCTCGTAGAGTTTTGGACATCGCGAGACAGGGAAAGGGATGCATAATTAGGGCACCGAGACACAAGATACAGAAGGCAGAATCCAGTGTGGTTGATACATGAACGCAGAGACGAAGTCGGGGATCAGGAGAATTACCGGGGTGAAAGAGTGACGCATCAGCAGTCCTACCCGCGTTATCGTTTGATTCAATGGATATTCCATGCAAGCATTCGAGGTTGCTACAAGATGGCCCATCACCGCCATGAAAGTCTGGTGCCTCCTCATCGATCACGAAAACAGACCTATTAGAGCGCCCTTCAAGGTCGGAGTATCTGCCAATACCAATGTCGCGAAGAAGACAGTCAAGGATAAGGTGCCATCCACCCTTGCCAACATTGCTGCAGCGGAACTCGAAGTGGCGAAATGCACGGATTCGACAACTAATTTCCTTGATGCGTCCTGAAGAGCGCAAGGAGCGACTCAGAATGGCATTTCCGACAAAAACCTCAGCGTGAGGCAGGAGCAGGTCTGACCATTTCAGGTGGAAAGGCATTGCTCGCGCATTTGCCCGGTGTGTCGTGACTTTTCTCGAGAAAGTAGTTACCCACGAGGCTACGGCGCTGGGAAGCTGTCAGGGAAAGACTTAGCCGCATGGGTCGTGCTATCGCGAGCCAAGGTTACGAGGGAGAGTGTTTATTCCATGGCTTACCACCCGGAGAAAACGAATAATCTCATTTTTGTTGGGGATAAGCATGGCCAGCTTGGTATTTGGGATGCGCTGGCGCCATCGAAGAGAACGAAGAGAACGAGGATGATGCGCGAGAAGGGAAGATGTTGGCGTTTACAGGCTCATTGGCCAAGATCCCCAAAGAGCCCAATATCCTGCATCAAATTCAGGTCGACCGATGTGCTCATAGTGGGCATGGGAATCACTCGGCTTATTCAGTTGCATAGGTCTTTACGACATCCTATGATTCCACGCTGCGTGTGACCTCCTTTACATCTGGGCAATCTACTGAGTTTTTTCTCTTGTCTCGACGTCGACACTTCTCATATCCTTTGATATCGCGGGAATGAAATATGGATTCCGACGCAGGTGGTGGACTAAACTTTTTGGACCTCGGGGAAAGCAGGCGATCACGGAGACAAGTGAACGCTAAATTGAAGATTGGTTGTGTGGAAGGAGTCATCTTTTATGCACCGCGAGCAACGATCTTTGTCTGAAGTAAGCGTCAGCAATGCTACTAGTGCTCTGGACTTAACTTGCCCCTCCAATGGCAGGATATGGGACGTACGAAAGCTTATGTTGATTGAAACTGGAGCACTTGTTGAGGGTGATGATGACGGCTCCAGCTCGCTTAAAGTGAAACCGCCTCCTGTCCTAGAAGCAGATTACGAGCCATCACAGATCAAAACCTGGTCGGGGCTGTATCCTCGGGCAATTTGAGCATAAATACAGTGTCAGCTCAGCTTTTTGGGACCCTCGAGGGAGGAAAATAGTGACAACTTGCTATGATAATAATTTGAGAAGTCAGTTTCATTCATATCCGGAGCCCCCACTTCTCACTGACCTGCGCGGAAAAAGTTTCATACTTGGCTCTCATCGGGAGAGAAACTGAAGTTACCCCAACCAATCCAAAAAGCTCATAACTGTCAAACTGGACGTTAGTCGACGGTGCTGAAAGCTTAGTGGAGTCAGAATCTCAATGAACCATCCCACTTCACTGTTAGTTCATACAATATCCCCGAAATGACTGATGTCGAACGTTTTCTAGGTCGGATCGATGGATCATTCATTATATATCATTGCGTACAACGGAGAGGAGATTGTGAAGCTCGCCGATGGCTCAAAGTAATGACGTGGCCTCCGAGTGTGAGGTACTCTACAGTACATAGCTAAACGGTTTCCCATCCCTGCATCGCCGAGCGAGCAGTCAGCGGAAATGCGAGTGGTCGGTGCATTTTGTGGGGTCCGTCCGAAGATTAGCAATGGCGAGTGCCCTCTTCTTGACGCAAGTCTGGTTGTTCATCTACCTGCTGAATTGTATGGATTGTCATGTTGGATTACTGAGTCGAATTGACAAATCTGAATATATCACAACATCTTTGGCGACTGAAACAACTGGCAGGAGCAGGTCGGCGCGACAAATGCTCGTTAGTCTTGCACCTTAGGGATTTGTCAGAGTGCGGTTTATTGCGACGGGGGGTCGGGGTGCAGCGTTCAGTGAAGCGGAAATGTGTATAGATTTGTTCGCAAAACCAAGCGAAGTGTGTGATGTAAATTGTGAGGACGTGGTGTTATTAGTGGTCCGACGAGCGTCTGAGCATGATATCACTGTTCGTTAGATACCGTGCTGCAGGTCATCCCGTTGTGCTTGACAAGTGGCTTCGCGGCACTGACGGCGCTGCAAGAAACTACAAGGGCGAACAACGTGAAGTTTTAGAGCTTTGGCGATCTAGCATTGTGTGGCCCGGCCGCACCACATCGGCAATATGGCGCTTAGTGGACTGCTGGCCCTTTTGCCTCCCGCGACGTCGGGTTGCTGCATCAACAGCACTAGGATATCGACCCTCGTGCAGCAGACTCTAGAATTCGCCGCTGATAGTACTGAATCAGAGGTCCGTATGTGTGGTCGACCAAATAGTCAATCCGTATATCATATCCTTCTAAGTATAATCAGGTGACTCTAGCTTCTGGGCTCACACGTGCGTTGCGCGACCAAAGCGCTCTCCTCCATCCACTCGTGCGCTATCAACCATGTCGTTGCGGCAAAAGGCTGAAGCTCTAAGGCAAAAGATCGATAATCTCCTTGTGGTGGGAGTTGATATGGCGGTTCCGATTCTCAGGGTCGTCAATGCTACCGCTGATTGGTGTCCCCCTCTAAAGATGGCGACTGGCGGTGCACTCTCCATCCTCGACGAGGTTAAAGTTGGTAATGATTCAAGCTTGATTATGAATGAAAGCTCACGCTGGTTTGCGCCACGTAGAAGTTCAAGGGGAACAAGAAACAATGGGCTGATTTTGCTGAATACGTAGCTAGCACTATGGCCAGGGTAGTTTCAGCCATAAAGTCTTATGATGTGTCAGCGAAAGAGGCAACATCATGGGTGGAGGGTGTCACAGAGCTTGGGAAGTACGTTGTATTGGTTTTTGGTGGTTTTCGATATCATGCTTACGTCCAGTACCAGCGCACTACAGGAGATCCGGTCCAAAATTGAACGAAGACTTAGAAAAGTAGAAGAACGGTCAGCTGTAAGAAATGCATTGTCCCACTATCGAGACCCAGGAAGAATCGAGGACCTAAAGAGAGACTTTGACAAAGCGTTGGCATCATTTCAGGTAGCTTTCCTCACGGCATTCCATAATCATTCTTATTTTCGGCCGGTGCAGCTTAGGACGAATTTAACAATTGGTGTCAAATTATCGACCATAGAGGACAGCTTAGACCGTCTGGAGAGTGACCCAATCCTCGATAATCTCCGATATCCTCAAATCGCCCACCATGATTCAACAGAGGCGTGCCTAGAAGGCACCAGGGTCGATCTCACGGAGCGTATTATGAACTGGTGTCGTAACACCGGGGATAACGAGAACCGGCTGATGCTACTGACTTCTGTGGCCGGCGCTGGCAAGACTTCGATTGTGCACACGATTGCAGATAGATGTAACAGGGAGGCTATCCTGTTGCTGTGCTTTTTCTTCACAGTTGGCGAACAGCCACGGCCGGACCATTTATTCAGCGGCATTGCTCAAGCTCTAGCAAAGCGTGATGGAGATTACCGTGCCTTCATTATCTCTGCCCTTCGGAAAGACCCCACCCTCTCAACAGCCCCATTCACGATGCAATTCAAGGAATTAGTGGCTTCACCCCTGCTCCATAAACCTCCGCCTTCCGACCGTCCTATGGTGATCATCATCGACGCTTTGGACGAATGTGACAAAGAAGTGTTCGGATCCCTTGCCGAAATTCTTGGGGACGAAGTGCCCAGGCTACCATCTTCCGTTAAATTCTTCATCACATCGAGGCAATTTGATCTTGTGAATCGCTACCTCTCCCCCGATTACCCAATTGATCGTCTCAGTATTGATCTCTCGGATGAGGCAAATGTGCAGGACTGTGCTAGGTACATACGTTTCCAGCTGCAAAAGCTGAAGAAGGTACATCGGGATTTACGGCGTAATCTTCAGGATGAGGATAAAATGGTACAGGAGATCTCAGAACGAGCAAATGGCTTGTTTATCTGGATCAGCACCATCTTTCGCTACATGAAGATGGCCAACAAGGATCCTATGAGGATACTAGAAAGTCTGCTCGACACTGGTGCCAAACGACCAGAGGTCCCTGCTGTGAAGATGATGGAAGACTTGTATACCAGCATTTTGAAGAAGTGCGCTTGGGAGGATGAAGATTTTGCGCACGATTACCCAATTGTGATGGGAGCAATCTTCGTTGCTCAGCAGCCTCTGTCCATCACAGCCTGGGACGTAATTTTATTACCTTTCCTCAATTCTTCCGTTCAATATGCGTTGGCCGAACTTGCTCCTCTGCTCTCAGGAGTTGAGGATTCCCACATTCCGGTTCGCATCTTACACCAATCTTTCCGCGATTTTATTGTCCATCGGATCGATCCCCGAACAATCAGCTCTCATTGCACTCTCATAGCTGTGGGAGTGGAGAATGCCAGGGTTGCCTTGCGATGTACCGAGATTTTGAACGAGGATCTCTGCTCTGTGAAGGGCTTAGGACAGATTGAAAACTTGTCCGAAAAAGATGAAATGCCGCGCATTCCTCCAAAGGAGTTCTCTGAGCACTTTCGTTATGCATGTCGCCACATCGTCCATCACCTCAGTGGAGTCCAGGAACGGTCCGAAGAGCTTGCTGGGCCAGTTAGTATGTTTCTGAGTCAGGAAGCAACTCGGTGGGTGGAAGTCTGTGTGAGAATGGAAAACTACGTCAGTATCTCGTTACTCCCTGAGTGGGCTAAGGTATGGGTTATGGATTGTGTTAAAGAAACTCGCTCATGGTCTTCCAGTTGGCTGTTGACCACAGGGCTGTTAGTGCACTGGCTAATGTGGTTAGCCAGCTTTCGTGGAACCTGGAATTCTTTTCAAGATTCCAGGAGGCATATGAGGCAGCAAATGATTCTGTTGTGCTCTGCCATTACCTATTTTCTGTGGACTCAAGTTCCTACACCCCGCATTTAGCTAATTCACTCAATAGTCTGTATGTCGCTCTTCACAGACTCGGACAGCACTCAGAGGCACTCCCATTCATCGAAGAAAGCGTCAAACTCTATCGCCAGCTAGTTGCCGTTAACCCAGGATCATACACCCCAGATTTGGCCATGTCACTCAACAATCTATATGCCGCACTTTCCGATCTCGGACAGCACTCGGAGGCACTCCCATTCATCGAAGAAAGCGTCAAACTCCGTCGCCAGCTAGTTGCCGTTAACCCAGGATCATACACCCCAGATTTGGCCAGCTCACTCAACAATCTACGTAATGCTCTTTCCAATCTCGGACGGCACTCGGAGGCACTCCCATTCATCAAAGAAAGTGTCAAACTCTATCGCCAGCTAGTTGCTGTTAACCCAGGATCATACACCCCAGATTTGGCCATGTCACTCAACAATCTACATAATGCTCTTTCCTATCTCGGACGACACTCGGAGGCACTCCCATTCATCGAAGAAAGCGTCAGACTCCGTCGCCAATTAGTTGCCATTAACCCAGGATCATACACCCCAGATTTGGCCATGTCACTCAACAATCTACATAATGCTCTTTCCTATCTTGGACAGCACTCAGAGGCACTCACATTCACCGAAGAGAGCGTCAAACTTTATCGCCAGTTAGTTGCTGTTAACCCAGGATCATACACCCCAGAGTTGGCCATGTCACTCAACAATCTATGTATTGCTCTTTCAGATCTCGGACGACACTCGGAGGCACTCCCATTCATTGAAGAAAGCGTCAAACTCTATCGCCAGTTAGTTGCTGTTAACCCAGGATCATACACCCCAGATTTGGCCAGGTCACTCAACAATCTACGTAATGCTCTTTCCTATCTCAGACGACACTCAGAGGCACTCCCATTCATTGAAGCAAGTGTCAAACTCTATCGTCAGCTAGTTGCTGTTCACCCAGGATCATACACCCCAGATTTGGCCAGGTCACTCAACAATCTACATAATGCTCTTTCCTATCTCGGACGACACTCGGAGGCACTCCCATTCATCAAAGAAAGTGTCAAACTCCATCGCCAGTTAGTTGCCGTTAACCCAGGATCATACACCCTGGATTTGGCCAACTCACTCAACAATCTATATGCTGCTCTTTCCAATCTCAGATGGCACTCAGAGGCACTCCCATTCATCGAAGAAAGTGTCAAACTCCATCGCCAGCTAGTTGCCATTAACCCAGGAGCATACACCCCAAAATTGGCCATCTCACTTGAGAATCTACACAATGCTCTTGCCAATCTCGGACATCATTCCGAGGCACAAATGGTCAATATTTGAGCATGTTCTCCTCACCATTGCATTCTCCTTGCACATGATGGGCAAGCTCGAATTGGATATTCAGCTTGAGAACACCAATAAATTCAACCTATTGCAAACTATTGATAAAATATTTATAGAGTTCACTGGCTGCTACACTCATTGGGTAGGTAGAAATATTAATAAACGTTTAAGGTGAGGATAAGAGGTACCAGAGATTGGAGGTGGAGGTGCACTGGAGGTGAACTGGAGGGTATGGTGGAGGTGTGGGGGGAGGATGGACTGGAGGTGGACTGGAGCTGTGGTGGAGTAGAGTGGAGGTGAGGTGGAGTTGGTATGGATATGACAGTATCCCCTTCTTAGGCCTGAACCCCTGAAGGCTGTAAGACCTACGAGAGAGGCTAAGGGAGGTGACTGCGGACAGGAGGGTTGTTGGTGCTGGAGGAGGAGGAGAGGTAGTGGAGAAGGGAAGAAATTTTTTTTTCGAACCTAATACTCAGGCCCAGGCTTGTGCAGATAGCAGGTGTGGAAGTGTCAGGGCACACCTGCCTGACCTGGCCCCACCTGACCCGGTGCCCCACCATCCGCTCCTCCCGACCTCCCCCCTCTTCCCCTTTTACTCTTCTCTTTCTTCTTTCCTCTCTTTTCTCTTCTCTTTCCTCTTTATTCTTTTCTTATCACATGGACGACTTCCTTTGTATCAATGTACCATTGACCTGGCTGCAGTGTAATGTGCCCGGACCCGGACACACCGGATGACCTCCTGCATACTGGACGCTCCTAGGGCCTCTTACAGAGGTACCTGGATGGATGTGGCTGTGTGTGTAGATGACGTGGCGCTTCCCACATGGCCTCAACCACATGTATATAAACACAGCCTAAGTGGGAACTGAGAAGCAACCTTCTTCTCACATTTTCCACTTTAGGCAAGTAGCTTACATTTCCCTTGTTAATAACAATAACACATTTTCCACTTTAGCCTGAGTGGCCAGGGACCCTTGTCTGCTTCGGGCCCATTGTTACGCGCGCCTGCGTCATACCTACCAGACTGTCATATCCATACAATCCCGACCTCCGCTCCGGGCTCCCAGAACTCCGAACGCCGACTTCCGGAGCCCTACTTCCCTTCCATCACCTTCTCCTTGCCGACTCCCAAGAGGTTATCCCACCTCCGGCTTGGACACCACCTTCGGTCTGACTCCGGAACATTCCGGGTCCGACCCCAACCTCAACACCTTCCAGATGAGTATGCAAAACCTATGCTCCCGACTCCGGACCTCCGTTCCGGTATCCTGTTCACGTCTCGTCTCCGGAACCTCCGGTCTTAGCTCCGACCTCGGACTTTGACCCCACCTCCGCTTATACCCATTGTATTGGTTAGCTCATTCCATTTAATTACCTTTGCCAATATTCCGGAGTTTAACCTCCAAGTTCGGACTTTCCGGACTTACTCCGGACCTTGCAACTATTGCATTGTCCATTTCAATTCCGCTATTCTCCCTCATTCCTATTTGGGCTGCTGCTTCCTTTCTATTCAGTCAGCTAGCCATTCCCGACTCCCATCCTCCTTCCTTCCTTCTTGGGCCTTGGCCCTTCATTCCTCCTTTGGGAAACACCATTGAGTCAAACACTTGACCCTCGGTGTTGTTCCTCTTTCCATCTCCCTTTGTCTCCTTTTGTCCTACCCTTGTTCCTTTTGATTCCGGACCCCTCCTTATATACAATGTACCTAGTAACTTGTAACCTCAGTCCGAAATCGACTTGAATTCCCCCAAGAGACTTTCCCTCTGCTAGATCCGAAATTAGGGACCCCCAGGACAACCAGCAATGGCACAGCGCTCCACCTGAGTCGCTGAGGCCGAGGTCCTTCCACGCTAAGTCTCTGATTCCGCTCCAGAGTCGTCTGAATCCGCCCATTCTAACACAGACCCTCAGCCCCAGGCGATATACCCGGGCACTCTCGACCCTGGGTTGGTCCCTGACAGGAAGGCCGCAATGAGATCAGGAGTGTGATCAAGTTCTGAAGCCAAGAGCGAAGAGTATTCCTCGTTGTAACGGGTCTATCCAACTAGACTCGCGACAGGAAAGAGGGGGGGATAAGGATCTCACTACAAGTCAGGTCTGAAGTGGGGTATATTGGTCCAGTCGAGTATGGTGCTGATAACTCTCTAGCTGACTGTACAGCGGGTCACGGAAGAGTCCGATAAAACAAATAAGGAAAGAGCATCACATGACGATAAGGAAGTGGAAACATCGGGCTCTAGACACCGGAAATGGAATCAGAAAAATAAGGAAAAATAGGAAAGTGTGTAAGGAGTGTGAGGGGATATAGGCTACATGTGATGGATGTGAGGTGCTTGCTGAGGGTAGTAGAATTGCGGGATTTGGCTCATTTATGGTACACCGGCAAATCCCTGTGACATCGTCAGTCCCTTCATAACCTAACCAATGCACAGTGTAGATGAGGTTACAACCCCGTCTACGGCAATCAATCTTTGAGTTGAGGATTTCACTAATCTCGAACTCAGGTTGTCCATCGATCACAATCGGCGGAGGTGGAGGTTGGTTGCAGTTTGGGATGACGTTAGGAGTGGCTGGTTCGATTTGAGACACATGGAAGACCAGGTGAATGGCTCTCGACTCAGGGAGGTGGAGCGTGATGGAGTGGCTACCCACGTGGGCAATGATCTTGAAGGGGCTGAGATTCTTCTTGGACAACTTGAAGGTCTGGTGGAGCGGAAATACTTGGCCTTGACATAGACTGAAGTACCGACCTCGAAATCAGGAGCTGGGATGCGCCTAGCATCTGCTGGACCCTGATAATGGATCTGGGCGTGGTGCATCTCCTCACGGAGGAATTGATGGAGAGAGTCGGGATCCACAGTGTACTCCTGCACACGTTGTTGTGGGGACAACTCCATGTACCGCAAAAAAGTTGGATTCTGTGGAATTTGGTCACCAACATGCACTACATATCCACTGACGCTCCCGATACTCATTCTATCACTATCCAACACTCCATACACTCACTCCATATTTTTCTTTATTTTCCCCATCATTCCCGACAGCCCCAAGCCAAATTCCCACGCCCAACCACGCTGCCAATTTCACCCCCTCTCCAGATCTCCATAACCACACATACAACCCAACCATTTTTCTACCCGTTGGTGATGCTATACCTTCCTCCTTTACCCCCAGAGCACTTCCCAGAATGGCAACCCCATATTCAGATGGCTCAGCACGGTGTATAGCCTCACATGGTCTTGACAGCACCTGTCAATGGCCACATCTCAAGAAGTACTGCACCAATTGGGATGAATGAGGGCTCGTTGGAAAGCTGGAGACGAGGAGGTTGCTGACGGGAGGATAGGCGGGCGCTGTGGCGAACTGTTGCGGAGTTAATTTTCACAATTTCCATTTCGGACCCATTATCATATATTCCCCATTCATTCATATTTCTTTTATTGTTTCTTTGTTCCCAATTGGATATTCATCATTTACGGTTGCCTAACGGCCCGTTTACATTCCCCCAGTCCATTCATTCCATTTTCAATCCATATAAAATAGATAACAGCTTGTACATAACAAGTTAGTACTGAATAGACCTGTGAAGGGACAAGCAGAAGTTACATCCAAGTGGCAAAGATGCCATCCACGACCCTAACGCCCCCTCTGAGCTAGTTGCTCACGTCTAAGACCCCTCACATCATAATACTCAGCCTTGACGTCCAAGAGAGACGTAGGTGAGTGTTTGTTTGAGGTTTTTGCAGACTCAATAGCGCCCACAGATGTTAGAACTGGGTGAGGGCAGACGATTCCAGAGGGGAACTGGAGACTTAGCAAGGAGGGACCTTGGCCTCAGCGACTCAAGTGGAGTGCTGTGCCATTGCTGTTTGTCCATTTGTGTTATGGAAATGGGATTTTCCCATTTTTAGCCTCTTATGGGCTCTATGCAGTATAATAAACCCCACTGTTACAACATCTGTTACATTAATTGTAACATCTTCTCAATGTCACGGCCCCCTCCTGCACCTGGACGCTATAGAAATGGGCCAATTAGGCCCCATTTTTATAACAATTTGGTCCTTAATTTCATAGGTGGCAAGCAGGAAGTCTCTAGGGGGCATTTCAGGTCAATTTTAGACTAAAGGCCTAAAACGAGTATGTACAAGTGCCGATATATATAGTGGAGAGGGCGAAGCACAAGGAAACAAAGGGGGTCCGAATTGGAACGAAGGCATCCGAACGGGAACAAAGGGATGACAGAAGTGGAGTGGTACCAAGGGTCATAGGGCAGAACCTGTGGTACATCCGAAAGGAGGTAAGGAGGGCGAAGCCCAGAGGGGCAGGAGGATGAGGGGAAGTGGGGATGATGACTAACTGGCTAGAATGGGAAGAAGCAGCAGTCCAAATAGGGATGAGGGGAAAACGTGAAAGATACATTACAAGTGGTGAAAGTGCTGAAGATGATCCATGGAGCTCGGAGGTTGCAGAGCTTACAGAGGTTGCGGAGGCAGGGTTGAAAGTCCGAGGAATATTGGCAATGGTGTTTATGTAGTATGAGGTCACCAACGCAACGGACCAAAGCTGAGGTGGAGTCAAAGTCTGAGGTAGGAACTATGACGGAGTCTTGGAGAAAAGGTACAAGCGGTGTCCGAGTACGGGGTACGGGACAGCAGTGAAAGGTCGTAACTTGGCAGAGGGTTGGTGGAGGAGGGTCAGAGGGAAGAGAGAGGAGAGAGGAAAGGGGTGAGGAGTGGAGGAGAGGAAAGGTGTCAGGTCCGAAGGTGAGTGTCGGAGCGGACGGGAGAAGGGTAGGAGAGTGACGGAAGGGTGGAGGTGGAGTGAGGAGGAGTAGGAGGAGGAGTGAGAGGAGTGATGTTTGGTCCGAGATGAGTATCAGAGCGAATGGAGATAGGGTAGGAGAAGGATGGGAGGGTGGAGGTGGCATGAGGGGTGAGGGGAGGAGTGGTGTCAGGTCCGAAGGTGAATATCGGAACGGACAGCGGTAGGGTAGGACTCCGGAGGTGGTGAAGATGGAGGTCCGGGAGTCGGTTCGGGATCGAGTATGTACGGATATGACAACGGACCAAAACCCGGCCCCACGAACCACACCCGCGCACACTACCACCCTCCCCCTTCTCTCTGTCTCGAGTCTAGGCGATAGACCCGTTACAACATA